CATAAATTCAGAATTAACTATTTGCATGATCTAAAAATTCATTCAGAAAAAAATTTAATCTGAACAATGAGTTCATTTTTGGTTTATCAATTCTGAGGAAGAGACATGACTTTCACATTAATTAATTACCCTCAAATTAGCTAGACATGACACTGGTGGGACTGCTTTCCTACAGTCACAGCTCTATTGCAAGTGACTCAGCAAGCCTTCTCTTCATGAGGAGGCAAACTGCACAAAAGGAGGTGACACCACACAACCTCAGCAGTCCACAGCTACAGGAAAGGAGACCACTAAAGTGCAGAAAACCCAGGCCCAAAGCCAAAGAAGCACTAACAAGTATGCCATTCCTTTAAAGAATGAATCTGGGGCTGGGGAGGTGGCTCAAGCGGTAGCAATCTCTCCTGGCATGCGTGCGGCCAGGGTTGGATCCTCAGCACCACATACAAAGAAAGATGTTGTGTCTGCCGAAAACTAAAAAATGAATATTAAAATTCTCTCTCTCTTTAAAAAAAAAAAAAGAATGAATCTGGCTCCTTATTTATAAAACTGAGTCAATAATACATTGAGGCTGCCAGTGTAGCTCGTTGGTACAGTGAGTACGTACCATGTGCAAGGTCCTAGGTTCAATCCGCAGTACCAATACACACACACACACACACACACACACACACACACTGGACTTCATGGAACTAGGGAGGACTGATTGATAATGCTTTGAAAGAAAACACTTTATAAACTGCAAAAGCCCATAAAAATGTCAGTTAATATTAAAGTGAGAGTGCCAAATGAATTCTACCTTTGAATCCTGAGCTCCAAGGGCTCAGCACCATCTGCACAGTTGCAGGTGAAAGGCAGAGTCAACACAGATCATCTCCAAAGCTGAGCTAAAAGGAAATCAAAAGCACAGCACACCATAATATCAAAAAATTAAACTGGGGGCTGGTGTTGTAGCTCAGTGGTACAGTGCTTGCCTAGCACGTGTGAGGCACTGGGTTTGATACTCAGAACTACATAAATAAATAAATACAATAAAGTTATTAAAAAAATTAAACTGGCAGAATTGAAAAGCCAGTCCAGGATACTCTTTATTTTAAATGGGAGCCAGTGGAAAAATTGATTCAATGAATAAAATGATTATATAACCAACTTGACTGAACTTCTTGAAAGTTTTTCTGTAGCAATAATACAAATATTTGTCATTAATTATACTTAAATGTGTTTTTTTTTATTTGCATCAGTAATATTCAGCCGACTACTTTGCTTTTGCTTACAAAGAAAAGTAAATGGAAGAAAGATCCATTGGATTTATTATCATCACTAGGAAAGTGAAGGGCAAACCCTTCTCACTGATCAGGAGTCATCTCTGCATACCTAATAATGATATAGTTTTATTTTATTTATTCTAAATTTTATTGTTCTAAAGTGTGGTTAATTTTGTTGTGTAACTTTACATGGTTAAGTAAAATAGCTTATAAAATTCACTAAAAATAATAAATAACCATTCAGTTATTTTTATTATATTTATTGGAAGAATCTTATTCCAAAAAGCACTTGAGGAGTTTGATTTCTTGGCAAATTTTGCCATCCTCTTACTATAAGTTTTATTATTCACTTTATATGCTGATAACAAATACAAAATACCCAGCACAACACCTAGAACATAATAAGCAACCCAAAGAATGTAGTCATTAAACCCAGTAGGCTACAAATTGCATGAAGAAATGGACTCTCCTGTTCTGTGTTATTCAGTCTTTCTCAAGAATCCAGTGCACTATTTGGCTTACAGTTGGTATTCAATAAATACTGCTGAATAAATGGCAGAATATGATTCAAGAGTAATTTCCAATTCTTACCTAGTTTATGGTTACCAGAGCCCCATCTTTCATCAACAGCAAGGGTACGGAAAAACCATACCCCAGAGGAAAGGCACTTAAGTTCCTGTTTATATTTCCTTAAACTCACCACAAAGATTCTCTCCCCTTCTGTCCCAAAACCACAAAATCAATGCTTTGCAACTATGTATCCTTAAACAGTTTTGCATCATTTCCCCTCACAGACAATGTACAAAGTTCCTTAAAACTGCAAGACTTAGTTTAGTTCCCTTTACCTTTTAGAAAGATATTTACAAAACCCTATCAAGTCTCAATTTTCTGGTCAACTCCTTGATCTTTGAATCATAGTTGATTGTCACACAGGCTGCTGCTTATTTCTTTTCACTATATATTTGGTACAAATTAAATTAAAATAGGCTTAAATTTTTTAATATATTAAAGTTATATATCAAATTTCACTATACTTCAGAGCAATAAACTTGAGAAACTGACACATATTTCAATGATGTTGCATTCCTTAAAATAAAATTCAGAGATTCTGGACCTTAGGTCCAGTTCAACAAGTCTCACACACACACACACACACACACACACACACACACACACACAAATGTGTCATTGCAATTATAACTCCTATATCATCTAAATCAGTATCACCAACTTGACTGCCTAAACTTTATTATCAGGTACAGATCCAAATTCCATAGATTATTTGGATTCTATTTGACTTATTTATTTATTTATTCTCTATGTTCAAATATCTGCTCTCAAAGGATGAGGAAAGAGAAAGTCAACACAAACTCCAAATTGGATTCAAAAAGAAATTTCAAAAAATGTTTTCCAATCATGTCTGAAAAGTTGCAAAGTGACAGAAAAATTTCAAATAGCCACAGTACTCTGAGAGACGCTTGTAAATCTAAATTATGGTATTTCCACTCTGAAATCAGTTTAGACTGTTTACAATCAATTGCCATATATAATTTCAATTGTCTTTTCCTCCAATGAGAAAATATTATTGGTTACATCTTAAATCTCTTTAGTAGAAATACTACTACTAGAGCAACAAGAAGCAAACAAATAAACAAACAAACAAAAAAAACTCTGCCTCCCTAGAAAGACACACAAGAAACATAATAGTGGTTGTCTCCAAGGAAAGGAACAGTGCAGCTGGAGAACAGATTTTCACCAAATATCTTTGAGAATTCTATACAAAGTGAACATGTAAACACCTATTATTAAAACTCCATTTAACAAAAGTACTTTCAAATTGTCAGATGCTGCTGGCTTCTGTACCCACATAAAAAGATAGTATTAAAGACATACTGAAGGAGTTCATTTTAATGGCATTTTACTGTGAATCCGGACCATCTATTATTCCAGTGCAGAACAACTCACACTAATAGTAGGAAACCCTGCAAAGAATTCTATTAAAATTCATCTGAACTCTCTACAGTTGAGTTACTTGGCTGTATCCCTCCATTAAATTTCAAACATCATTGGAAACAAAAACCTGATACTGTAAGAATTAATGTATCAATTCAAGAAGAAAAAAATGGAGGGGCACTAATGAGTTATTAAATATTAAAGGAGGAACACCCAAATACACCTTTGAAAATTAGCAACATCAAATAAATATATGAAAGCAAAATGCTGCAAATTCCTTTAAAATGTAAACTGTCATGTTGCGCAAATAAGTGAGAGATGTCAAGCCTAGTGCCATCTGCAACATAATTTAAGCAGCTTGAACTTGAAAGTGCAATATGATCTGTTGCTGAACACAATTGCACAATCTCAATTACCCAGAAGATTCTACCAAACAGGAAATTCTTGATGTGACTTTGAGAAACACAGAATCAAAGATTAACACATCCAGAGCCTGGAATTTATTCCAAAACAAAAAAACATTTCACAGGCTCCTTTTCAAATAATACATGCACATGTATTACTAAGACATAAAAAGGCTAATTACTAACTTATTACTAAACATAGAAAATTAAATTTGATACTTAATTTCAGATCAGGAGCTTTCAAATTATAGTGAATCTAAAATACAGTGTACAAAGCCTTAGAAGTTGGAGAGAAGTTAGTAAAATATTTTAAGTCAGGAAATTTTATAGTATGGATTTAATTGAAAACACACACATGGTGTAAATTAAAGCTGGAAAATCTCTCGTCCTTTCTATATGTTCCAGATCCTCATGAAAACCATCGTATACCTCAGGCTGTAGGTGTAGATAAAAGTTCCCTGCAAACTCTCTAAGGGACATTAAAAACACAGTATTCACAGAGATTATCTCAATTAAAAAATATTTACAATACCTCCCTGCACTGTTAACAACTTTTTGATCTTGAGGGTGCCCAACGGATCTGAATCTCTCCTGCTCCACATGAGAAAATTGTTTTGTCAAACAATACTTAAATGAGCAGTGGTATGTGACTAATCAGAGGCTGCCGGTTTCTCAAGCTGCAGTGTTCTTGCAGGCACTTCCACCCCCTCCACGAAAAGGAAATACGCTTTCAACTGAATCGGAAACACACCACTCAAGCTGGCACAGCGCTCAGCAAGATAAAGTCGGTATTTTAAGCTCTATGGGTCGCTGCTAATGCAAGTGCGAATTCAAAAACGACACTACTCAAAACGGGATTTCGACAGAGGCTTACAGAAAAGCCCAGAGAGCCTTTCCTCGCCAGTTTTGTTCAAATGACCGCAGTCCCCGGGTCAGGCTTTGCTCTTTGGCGTCTCCAGGCAGCTCGCTAGGTCCGTCTGCTCCGGAGACAGATCTGACGCCCCAGGTGGGCACACCCCGGGACAGGGTCCTTCAGCTCGACCCTGGCAGGAGAACCCCCAGGGAGAATAGGCCTTTCCCGGGTGCCAGCCCTGGGAGTTGCAACCCCCCGAGAAGAGAATGCACAGGGTGTGAGCCAGGGCCGAGTTCCAGCAGCACCACCACCGCCCACAGGGGACCTGCGTCCTGCACACGCGGCTAACCCCCTACCTGCGTGTGCAGGGTGAGGGGTGCAGGACGGACAGGACTCAAGGAGCAGCAATGCCCTCCCCCCAGGAAAATTCCTGCCGCTTGGCGCATCGCTGAGCCATGGGGACAGGCCTGGCCCTCGGGCATGAGAGACCACCAGGTTCTCCTCGGCCCCAAGCCCAGCGACACTCACCACACGGAGCCATAGGCACCGGAGCCCACCGGGGACAGGTTCTGATAACGCTCAGGCACCTCCCAGATTGTCTTGTTCAGCTCCTGCCGATAGAACGTGGGCCTCTCTTGAGACATTTTCCAGCGGCGGCCGCGGGGTGAGGAGGTGGCCCTGCTGGGCCCCCGCCTGCACCCGCACCCTCTCCCCGGCCCTCGTTGCCCGCCCGCGCGGGCGGGGACCCGGCGCTGGCCGCCCGCGCAGGTGTGGCTCGAGACCCCGCAGACTCCCGCGCGCCGGCGCGCGGCCCCTGTCAGCTGCAGCGGCTGGATGCGCCTCAGATACCCAGGCAAGCCCAACTAAGGGCAGGAGCACGCTCTGAGGCTCAAAGCTGCGCCTGTTGCAGTCTCGCTGCACCAGCTCCCGGACTAGGCCGACGGCGAGTTGCGCGACTGGTCACCCGCTCCAGCTGCAGCGGCCGCTCAGGCTCCAGTGGTCGCAGTTCCAGAGCCAGCGAACTGGAGCCTCTCGCCGTATTCTCGCGAGAACAGATCCCGGGACTCTCCGCGAGTCGAGATTTTACCCAATATGGAACCTGCCAATGGGAGGGGGTTCCTCGGAAGAAAGACTAGGAGGAGCAATTCTCGCGATAAGAGAGCCACAGCTGGTGACCAGAGCAGGAACTCCCTGGAACTGTTCTTCGGGGCTCCAAAGGCTGACCCGGGAACATAAGCCGCGTGCGCCTCACCGTGGTCGGCGGGGAAATCCCTGGCTCCGTGGCGGAAAGCAGTAATGACAGTGTTGGGAAGAGCCAAAAGATCTTTGAACTGCGAAGAGTCAGTCACCAGCAGACGAGCACCTGATACGCAGAGCCTGCTATTTCTAAGAAATTCTTGCATAAATATGCAGGTTTCGTCCAGAAAGGCTGTTGCATCGCGGTCTGTTCAAGGACATATGGCTTACTATATGGAACTCTGTCGAAATCCGTTCAAAAGGCAAATATTAGTCCTTCATCAAAGTTAAGATTTTCCATCCAAACTCTCCTAGTAGTTCTTAAACTTTTACATACACAGTTTGTTTTTTAAAAGCAGATTCCCAGGATCCATCGGAAGTTTAACTGGGTATGTCAGAAGAAGGCATCAAGAATATGCACTTTTATTATATACATCCAGGTGGTTATGATTCAGGAAAATCTCTGCCAAACCTCTTTTAGATGCATTTTAAAATAGAGTTGCTCTGAAGGTTTGAAAGTGACTCTGCCCTGAATAGCCGTCCAATGAAGGGGATTTTAAAGATCTAATTCATACCTCTCAGAACAGGGGAAGGAGTGGTCTTCTGGCGGTGTCACATTTAGGCACACCAGTTGGCCTTTCTTAAACCTTAGTTTTAGCTTCTGCAAGGAAATTTCTGCCCCGTTTTCAACTAATAATGTCGTTTGTCAAGAATATAAATGTGAGCCCGGCATGGTGGCTCATGCTTGTAATTCCAGCAGCTGGGGAAGCTGAGGCAAGAGAATCGCAAGTTCAAGGTCAGCCTCAGCAATTTAGAGAGACCTTAAGCAACTTAGCCAGACCCTGTCTCAAAATTTTAAAAAAGCATTAAAAAAAAAAAAGGTCTGGGGGGTGGTGGCTTAGTGATAAAGCACTAACTCCTGGGCTCAATCCCTAGTGTCAGATAGACAGATATAGATATAGTAGATATAGATTAGATATAGATATAGATATAGATAATAGATATGAATAGGTGAGGTATTATAACCCTATACCTACACCCACTACTATAAACCTTTTCCTGTTAAGCTTGTTAAAATGTTCACATGCAGCGTTTACAATTTTCAATGTTAACAAACTTGATGTAGGCATAAGTTTATAATAGTGGGTGAAGGTATGGTACCTTATAATGTTCTCTTAGCTATTTCTAGAAATAACTAGGTCCAAGCCAGAGCGGGTTCCGAGGGGCTCCCGCGGCCTGCTACGGGGAGAGCAGGGTATGGGGAGAGCATCCAAATACCCCTCTCTCCACCAGCTGCCATGCTCCTCTTTCTCGCCCCACTCTTGTCCCCCGCCCGTCCGGAACGCCTGCGGGTTCGGGGGCAACGGCTCGGGAACGGCCAGCGTCCGCGCCGCCAGCCAGGCCAGAGCCCGGTGAGATCCCAGCGTCTGCACTCCGCCCCCGCCGGGGCATCAGGTGAACGGCTGCCTGGAGAAGCCAGGGAGCTGAGGGCTGCAAGTTGTGAGGAGGAGACCGCGGCGCGGGTCCCAGGGACAGGGCTGAGTCGGTCACAAGCAGAGCAGGCACGTCGCGGGCGCTCAATATTTGTGCAATGAATGAACGACCGTCGCCCCTGGGGGCTTATCGCTCAGGTACTGTCTCTCCTTTGAAAAGCCGTGTGGAATGGCGATGACAAGAGACGGGTCCTTTCACAATCGCCTGTCTGTTGTCAAAAGCCACTGAACTGGCCGGCAGCCCGCGCTTCACCGACTACCGCATCCATCTCCTCAGGCCTTAAGCCCAGTCTCTCCTTTCAGATCTCAGTGCTTTTGTTCATTTTGTTCCCCAATTCCCCACCCCCTTGCCCCTTCTCTTCCCATCAAATCCTGTTTATGCATCTGTGGCCCCTATGAAACTTTCTTCAACAGCCCCATCTCATCAAGTCTCTCTCTTCCACACCCGCATCTACTTAAAGAAATCGTCCAATATTTATCTATCCCGTGGTCAGTGGCTTGATTGTCACCTTGAACAATTATCCATTTCCAGCCACTAGACAGAGTTACTGAAGGGTACTAAAGGTAATGAAAGCTCTTTGCTTATGCCTTTTCTAAATTTCCAGTTCACTCCCCCCAAAAACTTAGGTGGTTACAGGTAAAAGATTGTTGCTGAGGGAATTACAAATGCTTATTTTTAAAATTTAATACCAATCCCCAATTAGTATTTTTGCCTCAGCCCTCCTATCCCCAGCACTGCCCAACAGTGCTTTCGGTAATAATGAATATGTTTTCTTTCTTTAAAAAAAAAAATCTTTATTTTTTATTTATTTATTTTTACATGGTACTGAGGATCGAACCCAGAGACTCATGTGTGCAAGGCAAGCTCTCTACCACTGAGACAGAAACCCAGCCCTTAATGAATAGTTTCTTATCTGTACTATTCAATATGGAAGCCAGGGCTGGGGATGTGGCTCAAGCGCTCGCCTGGCATGCATGCGGCCCGGGTTCGATTCTCAGCACCACATCAATATGGAAGCCACTAGCCACATGCAGCTGTCAAGCACATGTGGCTGTCAAGTTGCTAGTGCAACTGAGGAGTTGATTTTTTTTAATTTTTTAATGTTTATTTTTTAGGTGTAGATGGACATAACACAATGTGGTGCTGAGGATCGAACCTAGGTCCTGCCAGTGCTAGGCAAGCACTCTACCGCTGAGCCACAATCCCAGCCCCTGAGGAGTTGATTTTTTAAAAAATTTAATTAAGTTTAATTTAAATAGCCATATATAGGCAGTGGCTAGCATGCTGGACAACACAGCTCCAGACCATGTCACTGACCCAATCTGTCTTCTCCAAGTATATCTCCATGCATAATATTGCTCTTGCTCCAAGACTTTAAATAGCTAACAAATCCAGGTTCAACCCAGCATTCAGGATCCTCTGAGAACAATTTTCAACATACTTTCTTAAATTTAACACTGCCTTGAACCCAATCTGTTCAATTACTTGCCTTTTATTGTCTCCAATTTTATCCTGTTCTTTCCCTAAAATACCTATTTCTCTTCCCTGCTCTCAATTAAGATAGAACTCAAACTGTATTTCTCCCATGAGAGGTAGTATCTTACCCATCCTCCATGCTGGGATTCTTATTACCGTTCTATAGGAGGTTATATGGTATTAAGATGTGGCATTTATTTTGGAATGAGAAAGATTGGGCTCAAATTACGGTTTTGCTCTTTAATTGTTCTGATTCTAAGGAACTCATTAAACTCATCAGAAAAATAAGTATAATTATTACCAAGAAAAGGCACCTGCCCTTTGGAAGATCTTGGTATAGGGCAGGCCAGCAGGAAGTGATAATTTCTATTTTTTCCACCTCTAAACTCTCTCAGCACTATATTTTTGTATTATTCTCCTATCTTTAAAGTCTTCTTTTGTATCCCCAAAGCACTAGTATTCAACAAATGTTAGTGGAGCACTAGGTTACTTGACCATGAGAGAAGTAGGATTCTTGAGTCTGAAACCAGTGAGTGGATATAATAGCAATTTATAAAATTATGAACATAAAAGCAGATGAGCTCACCAAATCCTAATTTGATAGATGGGAGCCACATCTTGTTATATAAACAATGTACATTGAAAGCAATAAAATGAAATTCTACTTTCCATAGCAAACTAATAAGATATCATACATCCAATGGGTACAATAATAGAAAACATTCTGCTTCAAGAGGATATTACAAGAATTCCTGGAAGATAAACTATAATTTATAATGAAAGGATATGAGAATATTTTTCTACCCCATTGTCCCCAAACCACATCTAGCTTGGCGAGGTGCTTTGTCAGAAGTACACTGTGTTTTAAAAAATATGTAATATAGGACTGAAGGATGTAGCTCAGTGACAGAGCACTTACCTAGCATGTACAAAGCCCTGGGTTCAATCCCCAGCAACACACACACACACACACACACACGCGCGCGCGCGCGCGTGTAAAGTAATGGATAACATTTACAAGTCAGATGATTTCACATAAAAGTTTGGAATTATGGCTTCTTCTGGAAAAGACCAGCTCTGTACTCACTGGGCCCACCAAGACCCATGGCAACAATTGCTGGAGCTAAGCCAGCTGCTGCCTTCACCAGACCCCAATATCATACATTGCCGGTTTCATACCAACAGGGTCTTGGTGCCATGTACAGAACAAAATGGGATTCTAGATTTTGGATCTGACCTAGGAAAGCAATTTTTATAATTTCAATATTCTTAGCAGGTTCCTTAGGCTTCCAGAAACAAGTAAACTATAGTAACAAGTTTATTTGGAAGATTATGTGGAGAAACTAAGAAAGATTGGGCCAATATTCCTGTAAACAGGGGAAAGAAAGAAAGAAAACCCTTATTTACATTTTAACACACAGTTCTACCTCTTTTTATTTTTATTTTTTTATCAAAATCATGAGATTCTAATTCTCTTAAGTGATACATTGTTAAGTTCTTCTCTCATCCTCTTCTGCGTTCTTCAGCCACCTTCTCACTGCTTTAGTGAATTTGTGATCTTTAGTTCCTGGGTGTTAATCAGCAAGCTGCTGCTAACCGATGATTTGAGGGTAAAATGCAATATACAACTGTGGGCCAATTACTTAGCTTTCCTCAAACCCCAGTTTCACCCCTTGTAAAACCGGGGTCGGGGTGGCTAGTATTAAGATTGTTGTGAGGATTTAATGGAATAACTCATGAAAAGAGTGCCAGTGCAATGCCTGGCATGTAATAAATTCCCCACAGGCGCTGCCAGGGCTGATGATGAGGATGAGCACAGTGAAGAAGCCCTTAGCGTGTTGTTTTTTGGACGGGGAAACTGAAATTCAGTTTCTAAGAAACTTGCCCTCAATTATACAGCTAGTTAAAAAATAAGCCAGGATTAGTACCTCCGTCTCTTGACATCTTCTGTGCTGCCTTTTCTGCTACACCTTAATGCTATCAACTGCAGAGCTGACAGGCAAGAGATATTCACTGAGGGCCTGCTAAATGTAAGGCACTGTCCTGGGTCCTGGGGATACGATCATTAACAAAGTCCTCGTGCCTCCTGGCCTTAGCCTTTTATGGGGGAAACAGGCAAAAGGACAAATAGACAAATGTTCAAGCAGGTACTCTCAAGCACTCTATTTAGATAGGGAAAGAATTCGAAGACATTATCATGAGCACATTATCCTTAGCATTTTCTATGAATATTGGTGATTACTACTGACTTTTCTTCTTAATCACTTTCCTGCCACATAGAAACACAATTGAAATAAAGGAAACCATGGTTCCTAGCAGGACATGTGGATTCTAGTCCTGGTTCTAATTCTTAAGTGACCAAACTGTTTAAACTTATGAGTCTTTGTTTTCTCCATTTGGAAAATGAGACTAATACACTCTTACATTCATGATAGGTTGGTTTCAAGTATAAAATTGTATAACATTAAGAAAGAATTTAGTAAAACTGCTATGCAAGTGTAAAATATCTCTGTGGAAATTTTATTTCCTTAAACACGTGCTGAGGGTCTAGATTTTTTTTTTTTAATGATTTTTTTCTTTGCTCTTTTTCCATGCATTCAGGAATGATGCAACCAGAGAGGAGCAGCCAGATTTACAGCTATAAGTACTCCTCTCAAAATTCTTTTTTGTATGATGTTAAGCGAGAAGTGTACAATGAGGAGAATTTTCAACAGGAACATAAAAGGAGGATCTCTTCTTCCGGAACCATGGACATCAATATCACCACCTTCACACACAATGTTCAATGCAGGTATGTGTGTCCAATTGTTCTACTCAGACCGAGCTGGGCAAGACAGAAACCCATCCTGACTCCTTTGCATCCTACCTCTCTCTTCCTTCTGAATCCCTGTGATCAGAACCCTGCAGTTATTGTATAATTTTTCTTCAGGGTTTTTTTTTTTTTTTTTTTTTTTGTGTGTGTGTGTGTGTGTGTGTGTGAGTGTGTGTTTTGAAATGTAGCTCAAATGGCAGAGTTGGAGATATATTTGAAAACACTAAAGCGAAAACCAGAAGCTATCCTGGATCTTTCTCTGACACACAGAAATTAAAAGGCAGCTGCACTATGACAGACTGCCAGACGATCTTAGGTGACACAAATAGCGTGAAGAATTCTCCATTTTTTATGAGCTCACTCTAGGATGGCTGTAATAGAGTTACCAGAAGGGTATTGTGAGAACAAATCTCCACTGGGTTCCACTTCTGAATTTGTCTTAGAAGAAAATCACATG